GTGTTGCATCAACATTGGAGAGATGAAATGGAATGCGCAAGGCAAAGATATAACCTAGGGCATTTCATTTCACCGGTCATAGGTGTGTAAAGAAGTTGATGACCGGATTTAGGATAGATGGCCGTACTATCAAGAGGAGCAAACTTATTTGCATATCGGTCATCTAGTGCCACTTGAGTGATCTAACTTTGCATCGTCGCTAGGATCGAGTGGCGTGACAAATTAAGTGGCTAAACCTTTGAAAAATGATTGTGAAAATGCTAACACACATACACATGGTGGTGTGCACTTGGTGGTGTTGGCACATTTGCAAAGGTGAAGAAGTTAGTGAAGAAAATGAGTTAGTCGCGTTGGTCACAGAGTGACCGGACGCGTCTGGTATGGTGACCGGACGCGTCCGGTATTAATGACCGGACTCTGACTCATAGCAGTGATCGGACGCTGAGCAATCACTGTGCTGCGTCCGATCGTGGTGACGTGGAGTGCTGGTGTTGGTCTAGAGTGGACCGGACGCAGTTGCGCGTCCGGTCGGCCACACCGGACACGTCCGGTCGGAGTTGAGCAGCTCTAGGAGCTCTCTGGACTCGACCAGACGCTGCATGTCCGGCGTCCGGTCGGTCACACTGGACGCGTCCGGTCGTGGTTGAGCAGCTCTGGGAGCTCTCTGGACTCGACCGGACGCTGGCCCTCCTGCGTCCGGTCGACACACCGGACGCATCCGATCCGACATGTCAGAGAGAGCCGTTGGCGGCAACAGCTAGTTTGAATGGGACACATGGCGGTCAGGCAGCGACCGGACGCGTCCGGTGCACACGACCTGCGCGTCCAGTTGTCCCGAAAAACGCCCAGTGAAGGGGTAACGGCTATTTTAGCCCGTGGGGCTATAAATAGAAATGGTGGCCGGCCTTTGGTTGGTCGCTGAGCACATTAGAGCCTTGGTGGCTTATGTGGTAGTGCTTGGGAGCCCTCTAACTCACTCTAGCTTGATAGTGGTCATCCGATTGAGTGAGTGAGCGATTCTAGTGCGATTGCATCGTGAGGTTGCATCAAGTGGCACTAGGTGGTCGTCTTGCAAGCCGGTGGTGCTTGTTATTCTTGGAGGTTGCCACCTCCTAGACGGCTTGGTGGTGGTCTCCGTCGAAACCCGCAAGAAGCTTGTGCGGTGCTTCGGAGAAAAGCTTTGTGAGGGACATTGTGCTCGCCCCGCGGGAGCCGCGAAGAGCAATTCTAGTTGAGCGTGTCATTGAGTTACCCTTACTTTCGGGGTAGGTTCTTGCGGTGCCCGACGTGCGGGCTTGGCGGGTGATGTCAATTAGCCGCCGAACCATCAAGTGAGCGGTCGACACAACGGGGACGTAGTGTGTTGGCAAGCACATGAACCTCGGGCGAAAATTCACCATGTCAACATTATTCTTCTCGTTGGTTTGTAATTCCCTTACACAAGCTAGTGATTACTTTCATATACATTGTGCTTGTGTAGTTGCTCTTGTAATTAGTTAGCTTATGTAGCTCACTAGTTACCTTCTTGCTTGTGTAGCATAGAAGTAGCTCCATTGCGTGGCTAATTTGATTTGTGTAACCTTGTTAGTCACATTACTTAGTTTGTGTAGCTAAGTATTTGCGCTCTCTAATTTGGCATTGATTGCCTTGTTATTGAGCATTCCTAGTGAGCTTAGGTGGCTTTGCTTTTTTTGCTTACTAGCATGTGTAGGAGCTCTCTCGTTGCTTGAAATACTAGTGACATAGGTTTGTGTAACATTGCTTCTACAATTGGTTAGGTGAGCTCTAGCTAGCCCGGCACCTTTGTTGCTTAATTAGGATCTTTGCAAGGTGCTAGAGAACATAGATAGAGGGGTGTAGTCTAGGCTAGACCGATAGTTTTAATTCCGCACTTGTTTCGGTTAGCTGACACGATTAAGTTTTAGTAACGACTATTCACACCCCTCTAGTCGCCATCTCGACCCTACAATAATGCTCGAGTAATGTGACAAAAATAAATAAACAAAGTATGGTACAAAATAAAGATATAAACATAAAACTTGTTTCTATATGATCCTCAGGGTAAAATTCTTACATATGCACATGCACCTAAACCATAAAGTATGGGTGTGTTTGGTTTGAGTAATAAGGTGGTTCATCTTCTTCTCACTCTTCATTTTTTTATTTGGTTTGTGGAATGAAATGAGTTGATCCATCACCACCTCATTCCTCACAAAGTTGTTCAGCTGATGGTTTCTGCGGCTGGCAGGCTGAAGCTGATTTGTTGTGAAAGAAAAACATTCGGCCTGTTCAGGAGGCCGTATCGTATCGTGGATTATTTACTGCTGGCTGGTTTGGTGTGAGAGAAAAACACTATTCCCAGCTGGAAATTTACGATCGTTTACGAGCAAGCGAACAGGCAAATTGTTCCATGGCTGATAAGCCAAGCTGATAAGTTCAAACGAACAGGTATGCATGAGGAAGGAGTTGATCCCACCAAAATTCATGGGGATGAACTCATGATGCATCACCTTATGAAGCATAGGGTGGCTCCACAAACCAAACACACCGCATATGTGGTAGGAATGAACTAAATGAATTGATTACTCATACATTTCCTCATTTTATTGCTGACTTGTTTGCTTCAAGATCTGTGCAGTTCTTTTAGGAATCAATCATTATTTGCCATTAGACAAGTATAAAATCCCTTGGCATTTCCTGCTAATAATTAACACAATAATTCCAATGGTGACATATTGGGAATACACTGCCAGGTAATTAAGATGGCACCCAAGAGGGCAATATAGGAAAAGCCAACACATGTTTAGCAGCGAGCCCGGGAAGTGCGTGCGTGCAGCATATGCAGAGGGAATTAGCCAAGTGACGGAGGGAATGTTGCGAGCAATGATTGTCCCAGCAAGCTCCCTCGATGCATATGTCTCGCCAGATTCTGATGCAAAGATTTCAGATCTCCCACAGATAAAGCTAGCAGAGCCAGGAGCGAGAGAGGTCGATCGATGGCAGGAAAAAGGAGGAAAAGCTAAACGGGAAGGAATCATTAGAAGTCGCCGGCTTTCAGGGCCCCCGTGGGGCATGCCCGTGCTCTCGCTCATGCTCATGCATGCCAAAGCCCTCTAAAGATGAGGAGATTTCTAAAAGCCTGTAAAACTCCATGCTGTAAGTTATCTACCAAAAGAATGTTGCCCAATGCCCTAGCTAGACATGGTAGAGAAAGATGGAGGCTGTCTTTATAGGGAAAAAGGAATGAGTGTGTAGTGCCCCTGTATTGCTAGTTTGCTACACTCTTTAATTAGTAGTTGCCAGCAGGAATCCTAAGTAGAAGGATCGATCTAACCAGTTTACAGTTACTTTGAGCTACAGTGAAAAGGTGCAGCAGCTAGCAGAGAACATATACATAATCTGAAAACACAGCATGTGTATCATGATCTAGCTAGTATTCAAGTTGACTCAGATGAGACATGCATACAAACAGGCAACTCTGACATGTATGCCCCACTACCAGCCGTGCTCTACAGTCCAAGTGTATGTGTATGACTCAGATTTGTAGTATATAGGAGAATCGAAGACGTATGCGTACGTACCTGCTGCTACTCCGTAGGCCGTAGCAACCACAAGCGTGCAGTGAAGTGCATCGCTGGCGGATGAAACGAAGCCAAGGGTAAAGCCAAACAGAGGCGGTAGATTCCTCGAGCTCTTCTTGGCCTGAAGCGCGCGTCCATCAGGCTCTGAACCGTTGAACGTGAAGGCAGTAAAGAACAAGGCAAACTACACCACACCGGTAGCTTAAGCCCAGCCCGGCTGGCGGAGGCGACGACCGGCAGCAAGAACCATCCCGTCCCGTCGTCGTCCTCGTCCATCGTCCGCCGACAGGCGCCTGGCGCCGATCATGTGCGCAGCAGCCCGCTGCCGACAGGACGAGGTAGCAGCCAGCACGCAGCCCGCAGGCGCGTCCCCATGCCAGGCAAAAGGTTTTCAACGCAGCAGCTGGGCTCGTGTTGCTACCTGTTTCCTTTGCCGGAGCAGCTCTAGCCCATGATGGCGGTGTCAGACGGATCAGCTCGATCGCTGGAAGTCATGCTTGCCAGGCATCTCCTCCAAGTGTAGTGGCTGCCTTTTGATTCTTGGATGCTCATGTCCCTCCCTTCCTTCCTCCAGCTAAAGCTCCCAGTCCCAGCCAACAGTTGTCTTGAATCTTCAGCTCCATGCATGCCTCATAACCAGTTATTAGGTGATGAGAAGAACAGTCAGGAAGATGTTTATTTCAGTCTTGCAGATTACAGGGCAGACGTGTGTGCAGATAAAATCCCAAACAGTGAAACTGTTCGTCTGAAGTTTCTGTTCAAGCAGCAAGCACTGGCAACTGTGGATTCAGCTGGTAGAGATTGAAGTCGGGCCATTTGCTCCACTTCGAAGGCAATATCATTGCCTATCATACGATCCAGCCTGGGCTAACTGCACGGTTGTCCGAGGAAATGACTGAACTGCCACACTGATCGTCTGGCAACCTGGGAATGCGAGGATAACTGGCCAGTGATGTGATTTCCTCTGAACAAACGGTAAACAGTAAGGACTGGAGGTATGAAAGAGAGAACCCAAGAGGATGACCCAATGTTAACAGAAAACTTTCTAGAAGATGAGCACACCACACAGCAAAGGACTGCAGGTTACAAAAGAAGAGGAGGAGCCAGAGGTAAATGATTACAGCAATACTATCGGGAACAGGAAGATGAACACACCATACTTAGAAATTCATAGGTGAATACCGTTACAGGATTCAATGGTTCACACAAAGATCATAGAATAGGAACACCTAAAGCTCCCAAGAGCTTCGTACAGGGAAAAATATCAGTACTAGCATTCAGGAAAGCAAATGCTACATTTGTTTCTTGGATTGGAGAAGCCAGGCACATGGTGTGATGATGATGAAAAGTTATTCATGGATTGAACAGAAGTATATAATGATATTCAATATCCACACTGCTATGTCCAGCCCATTAAATTCAGCGCCTACCACCCCTTCTTTTACTCTTCCTCCGGCTGCCCTTGTCATCAGAATCACTGTCCGATGCAGACTCAGATTCAGAAGATGCTGATGATGTGCTGTCCCTCCTGTGCCTTCTCTTCTTCTGCTTCCTTCTGTGTTGCCGCTTCTTGTCCTCGGAGTCTGAGGAACTATAACTTGAACTGCTTCCAGAAGAGTATTCAGAGCCCGTCACCGATGATTCAGAGTCGGAGTCGAACACCGAAGCACCACTACTGTTGCTATCTGAATCACTCGGCGATCGATGCTTCCTCTTACTCTTTCCCTTTTTCCTTTCGGCTTTCTCCTTCTTCTGCTTTTCCTTCATCAGCTTCTGCTCCTGTTCCCTCTCCTTTATAATATCAGGATTCTCGAATTGATAAGAAACTGGTGCGCTTTTCTTCAGCTTGGGATTCTTAAGCTGCTGCGTTCTTGAGGGCCGTGATATGTACACCCGCTCATTTTTGCACTCATACGTCCAGTGACCATGCTGGAAACATTTCTGGCATTGGGTATACGCGCCAACAGAAGAAGTTTCTGAACCTTTGGGCTTCACAGTGCCCAGCTTCGCAGCCTTCTCTGTACTCATCAGATACATCTGTCTCTTGGCTTCCTTCCTCTCCTGCCAACGGCTAGGTCCCTCTTCCTTCTGCCCGTAGGCATTGACATTGCGGGCAGCAGCAGCCGCAGCTCGTTCAGCTTGAGCCCTGCTCAATCCCTTGGCCACGGATAACGTGGCTGCCTTTATTCTGTCTGCAGCAGCATGTGGCTTATCATCATTCCCAGACATCTTGATTCACCCAGAGAGAACAAGATTATCCCAAATCAGCAACTCTGCAAAGAATAAACTGTGATGTTCAGTAATGAACTAATGAGGTCAGTCATATCTTCAGTAAAATAACAATAATAAAATAGGTTCAACCTCAACCCAGCCAAAATTAGGAGATATGCACAACATTCAAACCCCACGTCTCACCCCTTTTACTATAAGGATAAATAGAATACAAGGCACACATTTAGTCAGAGTATTTTGTATATTTATATTTTGGTTTCTCACACGTCAGACACTAAATATAACAAACTAAGAGTAGATAACTATATATAGAAAGTAACTTACATAATTATATGGTTTCGTATTTCAGTATTTACTGGAGTGCAGAGGCAGTACGTGACCATTGAAAGTTCGATAATCAGATTATCAAGTTCTCACACATAAACACTAGTTTTGTCTCGCATTGTTATTGCTCACACATATAAACAATCAAATCATCGTGCTATTCTAGTTCTAATGGCTCGAATTAAAAGCTGTCTGAGATAAGCCTTGCAATTTCAAACAACCAATTCACCCAATTAACCATATATCATATATACCATACAAAATTCAATAACAAACGAGATCAACCGACAACCCACCACTAGGTACCGAGTACATTATAGACAAAGTGTATATCAATAACAAGCAAGAAAACAGTACAATACCAAGCACTAAGTCCGGTTGGCAAGAACCAAGACCTGTAAACTAGTACTACACTTTGCACGAAACAAAAGGCGGATATCACTAATTCTACTGATAGAGAATCCACATTTCGGCGCTCCAGAGTAATAGATCTGGCGGGCAATTGACCAAAGCCTCGGAGGTGAGAAGGCAGGGGCAGAGTGGCCCTGGTGAGCTACATACAGGGTGAAGCGTCCAGTGGCTCTAACCGCTGCCCTAAGTGCCGTGGTCCCGTGGAAGAAGGGACCGGCGCATCGGTGGTTCCGGAGTGGAGGTGCGCCGCCGCCGCCGCCACGGCGCTGAGGTTGGAGACGGCGGGCGGGAACGCGTGCGGCCAGGGAGGCAGGGACCTGGGTTTCACCTTGGAGATTTGGCGCGCGGGGGAGCAGACGCCGGTGCACTACACGACCCTAGGGTATCCAACAGAACGACGAATCCCTAAGACAACACCACCGCCCATGAACCTAATCGACGCACGCTGCAGGCGTGGAATCTAAGAAGAGAGCGAGGCGGAGCGGGGAAGGAGAGGGGGAGCGAGCCTGCTTACCAGCCGGAGCGGAGGCCGCGAGGTCGCCGCCGTGAACTAGGGTTTGGCGGTGCGGGGGTCGGGGACGAGATGGAGCCGCCCGGTCCCGGTTTGATTTGTCCCGGTCTAGAGGAGGGAGAGGACGAGTCTGATTGGCGATTGCCCGAGGCGGTCGCGGGCTCGCGGCTCCGGCTTCCCTGAACGAGTGGTCGGACGGGTTGGGCCGGGCTGCGGTCGAACATTCAATTGGGCCACGTCTGTCTTAAACTCTAGCCCTTTTGCCTTTTTTTTAAAAAAAAAAGACATTGCAAATTGCGTTTTCATGTAGTACTCCCGATTAGGAGTACTTATTACCACATTCAGTCGGGCGGACCTTGAGGCGGTCACATTACAAATTCGTATATGTACGAATTCCTAATGGAAATCAACAATGATATGCCACGGGCGGTAGACCAAAAACGATAATGATATGTCACGGGCGTCCGATCCGTGACTCATCCGGACACGGCTCTGCAGGAGCAGGCCCCGTCACTCTCAGAAACAAAAAAAAAACAAATCCCCACTCGCTCATCTGCTTATCTGCCCTATGCCCGCCGTAGCGTGGCCGCTCATTCGTCCGCCGCTTTTTCCCCACTGTGGCGCTCGCCATAGGCTGCGCGTGCTGCTTCCCCCCCCACCACCTCTCCTCGCCGCCGCCGCGACATGTGCCCGTCCCAATCACCTACACTGCCCGCTCCCTCGCCATCCGTTCGTCCCCCGTTGTCGTCACGCCTCCATGGCTACTGGGTGCACGTGCCATGGCGCCTTAGGTCTTCCCTGGGTGAGCCAAGGGCACCGACGAGCGCGGCAGGTCCTCCCACACTGACGACCGGAATCAACTGGCCCAGCCTTTCCCCTCCTTTATAGTGCATATGTATGTTTCAGTGTTTCAGATGTTTCAGATGTATGTTGTAATTGTTTCATCTTGATGTTGCAAAAGTAGATCGGGGGATATTGCATATGTTGCAAGTGTTTCAAATGCATTTTGCAAGAGTGTGTTCAAAATGTTTCATTTGTTTCCAGATGTATGTTGCAATCGTCTTTGATCTGGATGTTATATATGTTTGACACATATATTGCAACAATATTTTCTAATGTTTCAGCTGTTTTAGTCTTATGTTGCAACAAGTGGTTTTCATGTTGCAAGTTACAAGTATTTTATTTAGGTGTTTCATGTGTTTCACACACATATTGCAAGTGCATGTTTAAATGTTTCATCTGTTTTTAGACGTATAGTGCATTCAAATATTTTTTTTCATGGTGCAAGTGTTTTATGTTGTTCAGCCGGGCGAGCTGGGGGCCGGCGGACGAGGCGCACGACGCACCGGAGGCCGGCAGACAGGGGTGCTGAGAGAGTCAGTGAGTCGTGCGCTTGTCGCCACACAGAGAGTCGGAGGGAGAGGAGGGGTTCAAAAGGAGTGGTGAGCTCACAAAAAGGAGTGCACTCATGGAGCGGGGAAAAGGCGGACAAAGGCGGGGCGAAGGTGAACAGGAGCAGGCTGCGCGAGCATTCAGATGTCTGGGCGCTAGCCACCACTGCAAATTGCGTAAATCCTGTATTTATTACCACTATCACTGACACAGGTAGGCCCCATGTGTCAGTGACACGGATGGCAAATACTTGATTCGAATTTTCAGTGACAATCACAAATATCTGATTGTAAAGACAAGGCAAATACCGCCTTACTTTTCTTTGACTGGACGCATGCACAACACAATTCCACGTTTCGTCAAACTCGCGACGTGCCAATGTCATTAACGAAGATTTAAGATTCGTTTGCCCTTGCGAAATGCTCTGTCTTTCGAAGTTTTGTGCGTGTCTGGCAACGATGCCTGGAGTCCCAGGCTCCAAGCACAATTTTTTCTCTGCTGACCCAGGCTTGTAAAATCAGAATCAAAACTTACGCTCTGACCTAAGAGAGTTTGCGTAAGAGATGACAATCCACGGTTATTCACAGATTATTCGGTCCTGGCAGCTTCAGCAGTGCTTAAATTCTTGAATCTTGATTTTTCCTACGATCGCCCGATATTCTCCACCAGGCGTCTCTCGATCTCCACCCTCTTCCTCATCAGGAGGGTGTACTTCTGGTGGAGCTCCCGGTCCTCCTCCTTGTCGCCAGCTGGGACCGCCAGCTTCGAGCCAAGGGAGGTCTTCTCCAGGTTGCCCTGGTACAAGCACGAGATGGGGAGAAAGCTGCCTTGGGCGTTGCACAGCCATCCGTGGGCAGCTCTCAGCGCCGCGCCCAGCGAAGCCGAATCTGGTCCATGGACAGCGTCAGTTCAGCAGCAATGGATATGGCTGATGCCATCGGTTTGTTTCAGGACAACCAGGTTCGTTCAGGGAGGAGATTTGAGCTATTACCAGGTCTCTGGACTGTGAAGACAGGGCAGCCGAAGATCTGCGCGATTGACTTGAGGATGCTTTCGTTAGAGGATGCCCCTCCGGTTGCTATGATCCGCTTGGGAGGGTTCGGCATGCCAAACCTCTCGGCATGGCCTCGCATCGACAGCATTTGACCCTCAATGATGGCACGAACCTACAGGCAGGCAACGATGTTGATGACAAGCATGGCAATCTGCTTGCCAAAATATCATATAAACTGACGAATATTTCTTTTCGTGAACCTCGGAGGGTGGGTCAAATTCTTCCACTTCACGCTCCAACAGAGTGTCTGATGAGACGTCATTGAGATTTTCGACAGCGTACCGATGGAAACCCACTGCATGAAAAAACTATCAGTTTCTGAGTTTTAGAATACAAGAGGGAAAACGCTGCAATGATAATAGTTTCAGAGTTTTTTAGAATAAAAGAGGGAAAAACGCTGCAATGATAATACATCAATACCTGGAACTGGTGGAAGGATTTCATGGTCTTTGTAGTAGAATCCCAACTTTCCACCTACATGCATGAAAAAGAAATCACATAGGGAAGTAACCAAGTAAATAGTAAAATTACAGCATGTCAAAATAAAATAAGCAGGCATTAGCATTGATGTATAACTTAACAATATAAAGCATGACATGCAAATTCCTCATGTAATCCCATAAAAGTAGCTTATGGCTGTTAGGTAGTATTAGAACTCTAAAGGAAACTTGATAGAAAAGCAGTTCGATTGAGCAAAATGACCATTCTCAACTTCTGTAAAATCTAACCATTTAGAGGGGGTGTTTTCTCCAGATAATTGTTAAAAACATCCCATGATTTGTCAGCATACCGATTTCGCACATCTGAAACCAAAATGTAAGTATCATCAGCAATGTAGTAATGACATAATGGCATGCATACTTGTAGAACAATAAAAAAGGAAACACACGTACCTTCTCTGGTCAAAGAGCCATTTTTGTAGCATAGCATCACCATATAACCATCAGGTTCAACAGGGTTGGGGAAAACATGCCCTTCAAGGCTTGGTTTAGCTTCTGCAGTTATCCCGAATACCTACAATACAATTAGAGGATGAATTACATAGAACCATTAGGTAAACATGGCTATCAACCAAATCAACATTGAGCATGTCTTCTCAACTTACTGTATCGCTAGTACCAAGGCTAATGGCAAGATCGCCAGGAGTATTCAGAGTTAAACCTACAACAGATGCCAAGGTCTCATAAATGTTAATGTAAGAAATCAGGAAACTGTTTTCTCGCCAATTTTCTACAGATACATATAGAAGATCACAAATGCCAACTCCTCATTTAAGAAGCACTAGCCAAACCCACCTGCAAGGCTATTAGGATTGTCTCCAGACCACTGAATGACCAAACAGTTCTTATCAAACTGAAACCTGAAAATACACAATGTCTTCTTTAAGTAATTACAAAATTCTAGTGCAAAGAATATTTATGGCATTAGTCATTAGGGTGCATTTTTGTTATTAAGCTAGTTTGCACATTCACATTAGTTTTTTTTCCATAATGTTCAGGAACTTCATTTAAATCCGGTGATCATAATAAAAGGAATGATGGGTGGAAATTTTTTATGATGTGAACTCAGAGACTTCATCTAAATCCAAAAATTGTAACAAAAGAAATTGTGAACAACTGAACATAAATTTTGAGATGTTCAGACTTCAGAGTTCATCTGGATCCAATATGCATTAACAGTTTTACAATCAGAGCTTGTATGCCAGTTAACAGAAACATACTGCCTGAACCATATATTATGATTGGTTGCTCAATAACACCTGAGCAGTCATGCAAACAGTAATTTCTACTTGCAAATAAAAGAGAAGATAAGTACATGGTAAAGGTGATTCTGAATATATGGTTGCAAACAAACCAAGTACACTGAGAGTGTACATTTAGCACTGGCCCAATGTATAACCAAACAAAACTTACCTTTCTACAAAATAAGGAGCGATTCGGCCAGCAGCTGAATACGCTGGTGCTAGATTTCCAAGCTTTGCTTCAAGTCCAGGAGCAGTTGCCTAAAGAAGGGCACAGTTTTGGTATTTTAGTCCATGAAATATCCTTAAATAAAAGCCTACTACAGTTTATGTTTGGACTTAAGTCATTCAACAAATCTTTAATGTACTACAAAATGAGGTAGCAAGTACAACCTTTAAAACAGACTTTGACCAGGTCCTCTGGTTTATATCCATCAAGTTCATCCCCGCACCATCAGTTTCATCAATACTTGCATAGCTTCCAACAAGGATAGATGCCATGAATGAGCTCACCAAAGATATTCTCTCGGTATCTTCATAAACATCAGGCTCTGTCTGATAGATCTTCCTTATCTGGGGGCCAGTGAATCTTTCATAGGCACGAGATCCTGTCAGTTTTGCTAACTCCAGTGCACCTCCAACTGCATTTTCTATTTCTCTGCATTGCTTGGTTGTGCTACTATCCATCCATATCGGTGAGTTCATTGTAGAAAATGCATCCTTGAGCTGCGATAACAAGCTCTTACTAGCATCCAAGGAGGACAACACAGCATGGCTGCCCTTCTTCCAATAAACACTGCCATGTTGCTGCCCACTCCCTGAGGCAGCCACTACTCTACCGAAGTTGATCTTTGGTTTTAGCTTCTCAAGCAGCAGCTCCAGAGCTTCCACCCACATAATGGTTGGTGAAAAAATGTGGCCATCATCTGCGGGGTCTCGGTACACCCCACCTTCAGTTTTGTAGTGTGGCAATTCAGAGTCAAAATTAACGATTTCAGAAGCTACAATCGTTAACTCATTGTTGAGCACCGTAGCTTTCAGCGATCTGTAACAGGAGAATGACAGTATTAGGTCCAAGTCTAATGGTTATCAACTTACTGGTAATGCAGAATACAGAACAAAGAAACCAAATTTGGGCCAGGTAAAAATCTTGAAAGAGATGAACTTAAGAAGAATGACATCCAAGGTGTTTCTTGTGCATACATCTAGTAAAGAACTTTGATTTCTCAACCCAATGTAGAGAAATTAGATGGCATCGCCACGTCACATGAGACTTGCACATACTACTTCCGATCGGTACTTCTGTAAATTTTAAATTTTATTAAGCACGTTTCATTTTCCTTCCACTTTTATAAGCAGACAAAGTCCCGACCTTTATTCATCTACTGTACCATGCCCATCGCTAGAACAATGAGCGCGTGATTAGAGGAATAAGCTACACCCAGAGCACACGAAAAATAAGATCCAGTACCCATTTGAGAACTGAGATGGGGAGAGAGAAGGGACGAGACTTACTGAGTGGAGCTGTCCAATCCAAGAAAGAGCGAGCCCTCCGGGAGAGAGCCTCGCCCCGACATGGCCGCCGCCTCTCTCACCCCCGGCAAAATTCGCTCCAAGTGGGACGGGACTACGAGCAAGGGGAGTTCGGGCGACGCGGAGGGGGAGAGTGGGGGCGACGACGACGGACGAGTGCGCCACGGATCAAACGGAGCCGAGAGAGATAAATGGAAAGCGAGCGGCGATCCAAAGACGAGGAGTGGACTGGGGACCGTCAAATCCGTTGGCTTCCGTCGGATAAGGATGTTTGTTACCTACTGGGGTAGACGAGGTGGATCGTCATCTGGTGTTCTGCTGCTTGGGCAGTTGGAGTCAATACTGCGGACTGCCGTTCGCATATCTTATCTTCCGCGACTGTTCATGCCATTACAAATTCTAAAATATAATTACTATTCATCTATTTAAAAACATGTCATTATAGGGGTGTTTGCTACTACTCCATTCCCGTTTTTGAGCCCCGCTCCAACTCCGTGTTGCCAAACGCTCTCAGCTCCAAGAACTCCGCTCCATGAAAAAGGTGGAGCTGAGGGCCAACTTATGGAGCACCTCAAGAGGTACTCCAGTTTTTGGAGGTTTGTACTCCCACGTGAAGTTGTGAGGTAATTACCCACCCTGCCACTCATTAATCACGGATTACTTATCGCTTCCCTTCCCCGTACGCTCAGAAAACGTAGCGACAGCGACCCTTCCCCTCGCGCCGCCGCTCTCCTCTTCCTTGGCGCCGTCGCTCCCTCTATAACCCTAGCGCCGCCGCCACCTCCCGGAGGTGCGCGCGCCCGCGGTGCTCCTCTGCCGCGGCCAGTCATGGACGGTGAGGTACTGCGGCGTCGACATGTGGAAGAGGCTCCAGGGGGCATGGAGAGACTTCGCCCGCGACAACGGGCTCTGTTAATTTTCTCACATTTGTTTTCTATTTTTCTCGAAAAATATCAAGTGCAATTTCAATCAGGGGCATAATGGACTATTTGCATGGAAACAACCCATTCTTGGAGCTAGAGCTATGCTCTGTACCAAACAGTACCATTTGCTCCACAAACTCCACAGTAGAGCTGCTCTATGGTGGAATTTATAGAGCGGAGCTAGAAAAACAGGAGCAAAATAGTCCCAAACACCCCATAATACGTGCTATACTTGAACCATACCATTTTATATGCCCCGGAGAAAAAGGGCGGACACTGGCCAAACTACCTCTTTCTATCTGCTCCGGAGTTTTTTTTAAAAAAAAGAACCAGTCTTCATGCCTCGCGGCCCTCTTCCTTCCCCAACACTTCGCACCGCGCGCAGCTCGTAGCGCCGCACTGTCACCTGCAGCCCCGTCGGCCACCAACGCAGCCCCGTGCTCCCACCGCCTCCTCGCTGCTCTGACCCGGCATCGCGCCGTCCTTTGACAAACCAAGGTCCTAGGGGTTCCCCATGAGAGTTCTACCCGGTTGGGCCCTGGGATGGCCCACGATCGGTTGAAGGACACGAGACAAGGTGGTGTGGACTTCAAGTTATTCCAGATCAACTTAGTCGGCTTACTATGAAAGCTAGATTCTGTAATAGGACTAAGACTCTTCTCTTGTAACCGACTAGGACTAGATACATGCCCTTACCCTCTCCTCTATATAAAGAGAGGTACAGCACATCCCCTTGTAACCCTAACAATCATACAATCAATCCAACGTAAAAATCAACACATCGACTGGACGTAAAGGCTATTACTCGACAAGAAGGTCCAAACCAGTATAAATCGTTCGTCTCTTTGCATTTAATGTCGAGTTCTGCGTACGTCGAAGCCCACCGAACACCGTCCCGGGTACCCCCATGATGGGTTGCCGGTCATCAAACACCGACAGCTGGTGCGCCAGGTATGTGCTTTCGGTGACTTCGTAATCGAGAGCTCGTCGGACCTCGACACCATGATTTTCTCGGCAGGAACCACCTTCATCTTCGGCTCCTGGATCTGCAAGGCAGACGACAATGGCAAGCTCCAAAGTCATCTCATGGAGATCCCGGTGCCTCAAGCTTCACCAGATGTCTCAACGATCACACTGAATCAACTCGCCAAGAAGTTTTCGCACCTCTCAATTTCTGATTCAACTCGAACTCAGGAGGTCACCATCAACCATGACTCCCGCTCGGACACGTCACTTTTGTCCCGGTTGGAGATCCTATCTGAAGTCCAACTCAAAGACCTAGTTCGTTTTCCAGTCGGACTCAAAAATTCGGCTTCAATCTATTAAGATACGATTAGCCACCTAGTGCAGTCTGAACAAGAAATCCCTCTTGCGGGTGCCTAAAGAGGATTGGTTCTATCCATCACACATGAAGGAGGCATCGTCCATTGGCCGAGTGCTCGACCCGACACTTCTTTAATAGATCCATCTCATCTAGTCGGCGTGGTGGAGCTCTTAACTTATCAGGACGGTAGCACTGTTCCAACGGACAACAACGATCACGATTCTATAGAGATCTTGGACATTGCGACGACTGCAGAATCTAGAACTCACTCGGCCACGAAGCACTCCAAAGAAGTCTTCATGGTTGGGCAACCACCTCATATCCCTATGCCTAACCCACCAGATATCCAAGATGGAGAGGAAACCTTATCCGACATCTCCCTAGACACTATGCCACCCAACAGAGAGACGGATGAGCAGAAGACGGCTAGGGAAAGGAAGAATAGAGCTCGACAGGCTCGATGTAATCATGCCCAACACCGCAAGGAGGAGTGGTAGCGGTATCAATCGGCTTGTCGAGACATTGGACGATGGTGCTTGGCTGTAGAGGCAGCGTATGAACAGCGTCTACAGGATGAAAAGTGGAACGATAGCGCTAAGACCGTGATGCCATCAGAGCCTCTGCATCACGTAATCTTGAGCCTAAATTCATGGAAGTAGCCGGCCATAGGGTCTTTACCATGCCCTATGCCAACGTCTACGCCCTGGTAGAGGGGATGACGGCCATAGAAAACCCTACTCTAGATCAGCAATGACTCAAAGTCATTTTGGAATCAACGGCCCTTTAGATGCAGGCTGCAAAAGCGACATCTTAAGCTAACCCTTCCTGAGGACCAGAGGCATGGGCACCAGCCCACTCTCATCTTGGACCGCAGAGTAACCAACAAGGAGAACAGCGAGTACCAGCCCACTCCTGTCTAGGACCGTGTGGCAGAACTGCCTAATCTAATGCCCTTCCAAGAGTACTTATCTTTCATTAGACACTAAGTACTCAAGAGAGTGCACTAAATTATGTTGTTCCATCGAGCACACCCCAAGGGAGAACTCAAAAATCCACATTTTTCCAATAAGATCATAAATGAGAGAATAAAGCTTACAACATTCTTAAGCCATTTCTTACATCACTTTATTACAGTAGCAGAATATTACCTCAATTGATTATAACAGTGGAATATAACAATGTTATCAGAGTTACAGGGGAAGCAAAGATTAATTTAATGACATGGTGGAACATTAACGTAGTGGACATTTATATACAAGAGATGCTAGCAGATTTTATATCTTTTCTTATAAAAACCTTTAGTGAGGGTTATAAATAAACACTACGATCGTAGCGTGAAAGGAATCCTATCTGAGCCCACCAGGAGGTTTTCACACATAAGAGTCAGCTCTAAGTATCCTTCGATCACCTACAACAGGGGGAATAAAACCCTGAGTACTCGATTGTACTCAATAAGACTTACCCGACAGGAGGAAAATAAAAGACTCCAATGATATGTAAGGCTTATTTGGCTTATGGGTTATTGCATCTGCGGAAGCATTACTAAACGTGCATCCTTATATTCAACTTTATTAGCGGTCATCATTAGTTCATTAACTAACCATTCTATGTAAGCACCTATGCTACTTTCAAGCAGGTGGTAAGCAATCAGAACCATTCTATCACTTTTCAAGTTTCAGTTCTTACTACGGTGCTAGACCATAGCCAAGTCAGTACCGTCTCACAGAAATGGCGATTCACGAACCAATATATCCTAGCTGAGTACCCCAAAACACACGCCTCGCTTGTACCCCAGGCACATACAAGACCAACCCATTCCACTCCTGTCATGGGGTCTAGGTCCCCGTCCAAACTTGGACTCCAAACCCCCACACTTAAGATCTGGTCTCAATATGGTGCTTAGACCTCCACCTTTCCCCGCCTCCAATCAGTCGGTCCGAAAAGAGCCGGAACCCATGACAAGAGCGTACGAGCCTTCCCACTCCCATAAGCAAGTATGTGCTTAGGATAATAAGTCTATGATCTGACTACCATCCACAGCAACAGACGGTCCTCAATTGACACAGGTGGAACAAGTGCAATCCGAGCCTGGCTCGAATGCCTAACCAAGTCTAGATCCAAAGTACCATTCTGCCCGGTCTCCAATTATCCTCTATATTGTCGACATAGAATTTCGTCCCGTGCCGAGGACACACGCAACAAGCCAGAAGGGTCCGCTCGATGGAGCAGATCCACCTAGCTTCAGCGAAGGGTGGTCAATCCTGCGCAATCCTCCTGAGGCATGCCAGTCAATTTGACCCTACAATTAACAAGGAGAGAAAGCTTATCAGTAATTAAGGGCGGAACGTGCCGGTGTTGCCAGACAGTCCCGAATGTGCGGCTCTGAGAGCAGATATGAGAGGAGATCGACTAAATAGTCGATTCCAGCATATTCATAATAATAAATCGATTAAAGCTTATGGGGTTGTATAAGAAGAATCGGTTATCATTCAGAATAAATATCATTTAAGCAAACATTAATCAATGGTAATAAGATATCGATGATGATTGGTTTAAACTAAGCCAATGATTACAAGCAATCGAACCCCTTTTTATATAAAGAAACAATTCAACACCACTTAACCATTTAATAAAGATAAATCTAATGAACATGTTAGATCTCATCTATCGCCATGATCAGTGGGGCATGAGGCAGAATCATGCAGGCCGTAGAAACAACAATAGTCTCGATGACCCTAACTCATTACTAATATCAGTAGGGCATGAGGCAGAATCATGCAGGCCGTAATACAATAAT